GCAGATTTCGTATGAAGGGGGAGGCGGAGAAGGAGGAGGAGGAGGAGAAGGAGAAGGAGGAGGAGGAGGAGGACGATCTCTCCATCATCCCTTCTCCCCTGGCCTACCTATGGTAGCGGTGTTGGCCCATATCTGGAGGCCGAAACTGAGGAAAAATGCCGCCTGGGATTGACAAAAGAAGCATCGCGTCGGAGATTTCTTGAGGAACAGAAAGTGTGGCTAAAACAAACATTTCGGATATCCGCGCTGGAGACACCGCCAGGGGGGCTCCAGCGCCGATTCGAAAAATCCGCGCGGACCTCAGACAGTTTATGCTCATGCCACATGACTTGTTTTGTTCTTCGAGATTTGGGCACGAGGCGCCCTGATCGCTGGATGCCAGATTCTTCTGGTCGCAACCGCCGAGATCGGCCGCGACCAGCGACGGCCTGCTCCCGGCGCTTCCCTCGCTGGCGCCCCTCGCTGGCCACGGCCGCCGCTGCTATTCAGGCCTCCGAGGTCGAAGCCGAGGATGCACGGATTCGCGTGGGCGAACCACATGTCCGTCTCCGCGGCCTCGCGGGATGGGCCTCGGAGATGCTGCTGGAGCTCCCCGCGGCAGCGTCGCACGCCGTCGTTTCCCAGATCTCCGGCGATACAGCCGAGACGCTGAAGTAATGAGCGTCTTGGGTCCAGAAGGGGCTCGCTGTTCCTGGGGTCATTCCGTGGTGCTTTTCTGGTGCCAAAGGGGCTTCGCTCCTTATCTAGCGTTCCTTCTTCCAGCAGCCCGACTGTATTCTGCTTCACGTCAGAGTGACCCCTCTCCGGAGTGACCTCCGGTTCGCGGCGATGCTCCGGGGCTCAAGAGACGGGGGTCCAGGGTCGATGCAAACGGGGGTTTGGCCAGAGCGCCGGATCTTGCAGGGCCCTGCAGAGCCAGGGGTGCACTGACCCGGGCCATACCGCCGTTTGCGAAATAAACGCCCACGTGTGGAAGTACCGAGATCCCCGCCCCGCGCCCCGCATTTCAATGTTGGCCAAACACGCCGAAGGGGAGTGCGAAGCGTTGCGAAATAAACGCCCACTTATGTTGGACTCCCCAGCCCTCCCCGTCAACCTTGAAATACGGGGGAAAGGGGGCGTGCTTCGTCGTCTTGTTTTCGATCCCTAAGATGGGCGTTTATTTCGCAAACGGCGGTAGCGCACGAGATCCTGCAAAGCCCGATTGCCCCAGGTTTGCACCGACCCGGGCCAGTGCTGGGCACGGGGCGCGCCCAGTGGCGCCCGGCCGACGCCCCCCCCCCCCCCCCACCCCCACCGGCGCGCCCCTTGCCGGCCACGGCCGCCACCGGCAGGCCTCCGAGCGCTCGATCCCGCACTGCGCCCACATCCTGTCCCGCTGCGGGGGCAGCGCCGCGGATCGCCCGCCGCTCGTGCCCGCCCTCGCGAGGAGTGAGGGCGGGAGGATCGGGGAGGGAGGTTCCAGGGTTTCGGGTGCGTCGGCTGGTTCTCGGCTGCTTTCCCGCCTCGGGGTGCCTGCAGCGGCTGCGCCTCGCCGAAAGCGTTCCAAGGGGCACTCCTGGATTATGGCCCGAAAGCCACCAGAGCACGGGCCCAGGGAAGGGGAGGAGTGAGGAGCGAGGAGCGAGGAGCGAGGAGCGAGGAGCGAGGAGCGAGGAGCGACGAGGAGGAGGAGGAGGAGGAGCCCAGGAGGAGGGAGGAGGAGGAGTGAGGAGCGAGGAGGAGGAGGAGGAGGAGGAGGAGGAGGAGGAGGAGGAGGAGGAGGAGGAGGAGGGAGGAGGAGGGTGGAGGAGGAGGAGGGAAGAGGATGAGGATGATGATGATGATGATGATGATGATGATGATGATGATGATGATGATGATGATGATGATGATGATGATGATGATGATGATGATGAGAGAGATGATGAGATGAGGAGGAGGAGGAGGAGGAGAAGGAGGAGGAGTCCAGGAGGAGGGAGGAGGGAGGAGGACGACGAGGAGGAGGAGGAGGGGAAGAGAAGGAGGAGGGAAGAGGAGGAGGATAGAGGAGGATGAGGAGGGGGAGGGAGGAGGAGGAGGAGGGGAGCAGGAGGAGGAGGGAGGAGGCGGAGGAGGAGGAGGAGGAGGAGGAGGAGGAGGAGGAGGGGAGGAGGAGGAGGGAAGAGGAGGAGGAGGAGGGGGAGGAGGAGGAGGAGGAGGAGGAGGAGGAGGAGGAGGAGGAGGAAGAGCGAGACAAGGTGTGGCTTGGGTTGGCCCTCAAGGGAGTGTAACGAAACACTCGCTGCCCTCGTCTGAGCCCTCTTCCTAGTCGGGGTCCTCTGAGGCGGCCGACGCTCGCTGAATCTCTTGTCGACCCAACGCGAGCACTCGCGAATGGTCCCCGACCGTCAACCCAAAAGCTTTCAGCACTTGGCCCCGCCCACCCACCTCCCCCCGCCTCCTCGTCGAACGAGACCGGGCGATGTCGCCGGAAGGGGCCACCGTCGCATCAGCCTGCACCTGCAAGCTTCTTCTGACTGCTGGCAGCACCCCATGTGGGCGGGCTCAACGGAGGTGCTTTAACACCGCTCCTCAATGGGGGAACTCACCCTTGCAGATCCGTCTCAGCTGACCCTGGGTGCCCCACTCGGCCAGAACACCAACCAGAGATAGACGTCGTTTATTTGCCCTCCGAGCTCACAGCCCCGCGGCGGCAGTAGCACAGAATCACCCCGACCCTCGGCTTCGCGCCTTCGACCTCGGACTGAAGCGCGAAGGTGTCGCGGCCGCCCGAGACTCCTCCGAGACCACTCCTCGCACGCGGCTCCCGCCCCCGAGCCTTCGGCCCTCCGCCCAGAATCAGAAGCACCATAAGGGGTACCAAAAGCGTAGGGGTACCAAAAGCGGGTGGGGTTAGCTTCATTTTAGATGCATCGCAACGAAGCGCGCGCATTCGAAGGATTCGCTTGCACCTTGCATTGCGAAACAATACTTCTCTCTCCTTCGGGCTCTGAGGGTTCTGGAGGGTTCTGAGAACCCTCCAGGATCTTCGGGCGGCTCCTGGTCGGGCCGAAGGCCGGGGCGTTCGGGGCCTTCGAGAGAGGGGGGGGGAGCCTGGCCGTGGCGCTGGGCGAGATGCAGCTCCGCGAAGCCCTCTTGTGGTCCCGGCCGTCCGCCCGGCTGTGCGCCTCTGCGGCCCACGCCCTCCCGCCTCGCGCGGGCACTCGGCCAGGCGGCCTCGCCAGAGCTCGCCAAAAGTTTGGCCGACACCCGCCCCTTGCGTAGCGAGCGCGTTCGTCTGCCGCTCGGTTCGCCAGAAGCTCCCACTCCGCGGCTCCACAGCTATGCGCGTGCAATGGGCTTTCGTCTTGTGCGTGCGCACGTCCGACGACTGGAGCGATGCCCCAAACTGGCCCCAGCCATGCGCACGCGCTGGTTCTGGCTGCCCCCCCCCCCTCCCCCCGCCACACGGTGCCTACTGTGCCTGCGCAATCGGCATAGACAGCGAAGGGGGGCAGAGCTACTTGCGCCAGCATGACCCACCAAACTACGCTCAGCAGCGAGCTCTACCTATTCGACACGAGATACCCAGTATTGCTCTCGGACGTGATTGCCATCGAGGACCAGAACGAGGATGAATATCACTCCTGCTACGACAACATGGACTACATCGAGACAGACGCTGGCCCACTGACCAGTACAACCAGCAGCCGTACCAGACTCAAGCCCACGGGAGCTGCACCCGAAGCAGACAACCCCACAGCGACCATGCCGACAGCGTGATCGACGACAACGCGACGCCCACCCCCACGTGGCTCTACCCTCAGGTCAGATCGCACCACCAACCGCCACAAACATGAACTAGAGGAAGGGGTTTTCTCAAACTGCCCAGTGTGCGAAACTTGGTAAAACAGCTCGCGGTGTGTGTGTGTACTAATTTCCTTTAGGGCAAAGAGCTGAACGCTGAATACGTGCACCAGCGCCAACTGGCGCACGCCAGGGCCCCCAGCCCCAGAGATGGCGCCGGCGGTGCACGCAGTGTGGGCTAGCATCCTCCTCCTCATCTTGCTTCGTGCTCCCCCCGTGCCTTCGTTCTTCGTGCTGCTCCCTTACGTAGGGTGAGGAACGCATCGGGAAGAAGGGGATGGGAGAGATAGGGGGTGCGGGGGGGAGGCGGAGGCGGAGCGAAGGATGAGCTCGTGGCCGTGCTCTCTCGGTGCTCATAATCTGTGTCTGTCCGGCTCGCGCCCGCTCGCCCGCCCAGCCCGACGAAGTCATCGAGCAGCAGGCGCTCGCCGGCTTCCTTCCCTCGTTCTTGCCCTGGCCTCTGGCTTGGTCTCTCTGGCCCTGCATGTGTGCCTCTCGTCTCTCTCTCGGTCTGCGCCCCCCTCTACCGCCGTGCCTGTTTGCCGCGATGGCGGCTGGGTTGTCGCCGTCGCCGCCATGAGATTGCACCACATAGGTTCTCTTTTCTCCTAAACGAGAACAGATTCTACGCGCCCCCCCCCGGAATTATCCGCACCCCTGTTCATGTGGCGATTTCCTTATGATTCTGCCCCATCGGCCATCCTGAATACGAGCTCATACCACCCTGTGTTCTCTCTCTCTCTCGCTTTCTCTTCGTTTCCTAACTTGTTCATTGTTTCTTTGTTTATTAATGTGTTTGTCTTTTTCGTCTCTTTCTCTAGTTCACTGTCTCTCTCTCGCTCTCTCTCTCTCTCTCGCTGACACTGCCTGTGTATGTGCAGTCTTGCATCTCTTGCCCCTCCCCCGTTTCCGCAGGCACCTCCGCCACCTCCGCCGAGACAGGCGACCCATGCGGCTGCGGGGAGGAAGAAGGTGGCGATCGGAAGGGGAGAGCAGCGATCGAGCAAAAGAGGCATGGGGGTGCAGAGCAGGATGAAGAGATAGAGGGGCGCGAAGGAGGGACGGGATGAGAGTGTATAAATGAGGAAGGAGGGGTGGGCAGGAGGTGGACGCCGGCGGTGGCGACGACCACGACGATGATTTCGTCGGATGCCCTTTTTGGGGCTTGTTTTGTTCTAGTGTGGTATGCCTGGCCCTCCTCTGTGAACTGGTATTGAGTATGCCTGCTACGTGTAGAGTCGCATCATGGATTGCTTACGGCAGTCAGTGACATTGTCACCCACGACAAGGTCGTGTTCTCGTGAGCAGGCTTGGAATGCCGCCAAGTCCCTCAGGGAAGAGGCCCACATGGCGAGCAGGGCTCTCAGGCCAGCTCTATGGCCGACATCTCCGCACCTTTCGATGGAACTACGGGCTGCACCCTCGAGGGTCCCCGCAAATGTGCCTCGAAGGAACGAGGTTAGGGTGCGGCCGCGGCAGGGGGCAACTCCACCAGGACGGGGACGCCGCGATTTTCCCGCGGTCCGAGAACATCCGACTTCGCGTTTTTCGCGATGTGGTCCCCCTGAGGTCTAGACTACGTAGACCCCTTCCCCGGGACCGGTTTTTGACCCCGGTTCGTTTTTCGAGGATCCCCGGTTCGTTTTTCGAAGGCCCCAGAGGCTGAAGACGGTCAGACACGTCCCGGCCGTGATTTTTCCGCGATTCAAGGGTGTTGAGGTTTGCGCAGCGCTGGTGGCCTGGCGGGCTGGCCGAGCTCTCGCGCCAGATCTGGGCCTCCCACATAGGGTCCGAGCAGATGGGGTCGGGGGATCGCGCCGCGTCGCCGACGAATCGGCGATGCATCGCCCTTGCATCGGGGATGCACTGGCGACGTAGGCGATGCATCGGCGCCGTCGGCGTGGAGAGAACTGGGCTCCACATCGAGCCACATCGCCCAGGCGTCGGCAGTGCCTCGCCGACGCCTCGGCGATGCGGCGTGGCCCTCCAGCCCCAGCTGCTCGGACCCTCCTCCTCCTCCTCCTCCTCCTCCTCCTCCTCCTCCTCCTCCTTCTCGATCCTCGATCTTCCTCCTCCTCCTCCTCCTCCCCCTCCTCCTCCTCCTCTTCCTCCTCCTCCTCATCCTCCTCCTCCTCCTCCTCGGTCCTCCTCCTCCTCCTACCAGAGACGGGGAGGCCTCTACCAGGGACTTGACTTGGGCCACCGAGGCCTCTACCAGAGGCTGGGAGGCCCCTGCCAGAGACTGGGAGGCCTCTGCCATCTGGGAGGCCTCTGCCGGAGACTCGGGCCACCCGGGCCCCATGGGGGGGCCTGCGGAGGCCGACCGGCAAGGGCGGCCCGAGCTTCCGCTGCTCAGGGCAGAAGCCAAGGGGGGGTCCTCGACCCTCCTCCTCCTCCTCCTCCTCCTCCCTCCTCCTCCTCCTCCTCTCCTCCTCCTTCTCGATCCTCGATCTTCCTCCTCCTCCTCCTCCTCCTCCTCCTCCTCCTCCTCCTCCTCGGTCCTCCTCCTCCTCCTCCTCCTCGGTCCTCGACCCTCGACCGAGGACTGCAGAGCCGGCTCGGCCCCCGGGCCACCGCCCTCGAGCCACGGGCGGGCTGCAGGCGGGGGCCCCCCGGGCCCGAGGCCGCCGCGCCTGGCCCGAGGGGGCCCCGCGGCCCCGCGGCGGGCTCCCGCCGGGGGGGCCGCGGGCCTGCCGCGGAGGGGGCCCGAGCCGAGAGCCGGAGGCCCGGTGGCCCACCGCGGTAGGGGGCCAGATGCGAACCCTCCCCCTACCCTCCTCCTCCTCCTCCTCCTCCTCCTCCTCCTTCTCGATCCTCGATCTTCCTCCTCCTCCTCCTCCTCCTCCTCCTCCTCTCCTCCTCCTCCTCCTCCTCCTCCTCCTCCTCCCCCTACCCCCCACGATTTCTGAGGGGGAGGGTGGGGTCTACTTCGTTCGGGAGCTCCCGAGCAAAGTGAACCCCACCCTCCCCCTCAGAAATCGTGGGGGGTAGGGGTAGGGGTAGGGTTCGCATCTGGCCCCCTACCGCGCCCATGCCGACGCGGGAGTTTGTATACATGACCACCGCCTGGAGGGTCAGTTTTCGGAGCCTCGGCAGGCGGTGGGTATGGACATCACATCATCGGGCCCCCGGGGGCCGACGTTATATCCACATCCACCGCCCGCTGGGGCACCAGGACGTCGGTTCCCCGGCGGTGGGTATGGATAGACCCCCGCCTTGAATCCATCAACGTGCGGATTCGCCATCGGGGTCCCATCTCGGGACAGTCGAAGTGGGTACAGAAACAGTGGGTACACAGAGTCCGACAGCAGTTCTTGTTCATTTTCTGAGCAGGGTTCGCTGTCGGCGTCGCCGCGGTCCTGGTCCGTGCGAGGCAGACGGCCGCATGCCCCACAGCAGCCGCCGTCGGTTTTGAATCACATTTGGTGTTGGGCATCGTACCCATTTTTCCCGTACCCATTTCGCACACTTTCGGACGTCCAAACTATCGCCGATATCCGATACTTCCCCCCCTGAGCCTGTGTCCCCGTATCGGAAGGGGCTGTTCTTTGCCCCTCTTTTCATTTACCAGCGTTGTGGTCCTAGAGCGCGTCACGGGCTTTCCGGGCGCGAGTGTCGAATGCAGTCCGTAGTAGCCGTGGGGTTCCGGGTGAGGGGCGGGCTGGAACAACCGGCCTGGAGCAACACAGAGGTGAGGTGCAATCAAGCCATGCACGTGCAGCGAAAGGTGAGGTGAGTCGGCGTCGGAAAGGGTTGCAGGGGCTCTGTCCCCTCGCACACTCCACCCGTCCTGCGGGCTTCGGGCCTGCGGCGTGCGTGTGAGTGGAGCGGGCGTGGCTGGCCTTTTTCAAGAGCCACCTTCAGCCTCGCCGCCTGAGCTTTAAATCCCGCCTCCGGGCTGTTCGGCAGCAGTGGTGCACTGTTGGGCGGGGGAATTTCTCCGAATGCGGTGAAGGATGTGGGTGGATCAGTTTGCCGTTTGCATATAGGTACGTTTATGCTTTCTGGAATGTTTGCTGGCGGGTCCAGCGGTCGTGGGCCGACGGAGCGGAACCGTGGAGCCTCGCACCGACCAACCCTTCGCTTCCACTGCAATCCGTGCCCCCGCAAAATGTTAGGTTTCTGTGTTGCGGAGGTCTCCCCCCCTGGTCGGCATCGTTGGCAGGTGCATCTGAGTGGCAGCAGTGGTGCCGAGGAGAAGCGCGAACGCCGTGCAAACGGGGTAGCAGGCGAGAAGCAGGAGGAGGCGGAGGAACAGCAGCAGCAACAGCAGGCGCAGGAGAGGGAGGAACGGCGCCTGCCGTTTCTCGCTTCCCAATGTCTGCAGGCGGCGCCACAGTCCACAGGGCCGAAGGAGCTGCTCGGGGACGACATGCTCGTTGCCCTTCAGAAGGACGCGCCTGGTTCGGTCCTCTCCCTCCTCCTCGTCCTCCTCCTCCTCTTCCTTCTCCTCATCCTCCTCCTCCTTCTCCTCCTCCTCCTTCTCCTCCTGGGCACCGAAGCCACCAGCAACCGATCTTCACCAAGGAGATGTTACAGCTCAGAAAGCGTAAAGGTATCGGCATGCTCGGAGTCAAGGGTCTCGTATCATCCACGTGACCTCCCTGTCACCTGCCTCACTTCCGCATCGCCTCCTCCTTCCCCGCATCCTTCTATACGCGTCCATGCGAGACGCTCGTATTCAAAGAACCGTATGCGGTCGGAACCGTGTGCGACATCTCAGAGCGGCTTCGGATGGGTGGCTTCAGACACCTTCTGGGGATTGGTCTCCTCTTCCTCCTCCTAATTCGTCTCCTCCTGCTCCTCCTCCTCCTCCTCCTCCTCCTCCTCGCCTTCCCCCTCGTCCTCCGTCCCTTCCTCCGATTCCTTCCCGTACTCCTCCAGTCCCTTGTCTTCATCGGAGTTTGGCGCCATTGCGGGCGGTCTTCATAGGCTTGGCTCCTGCAGCTTGCGAGAGCAGTTGGGCGAAACATGTTGCCAAGAGATTTGTGAGGGTGATGCCATCGCGTCGCCTTCCACCATTGTGGCGGCGTGGCCAGGAGGACCATCACGTCACGAAGCAAACTACGGGTATCAAACACGGTTAGGAGAACATTATTGGCAAGTCAGTCTTGAGGTGCAGTTGGCAACCATCAGGAATAATGGCGAGGGGGCGCCAACGGTGGTTCAGCTTCGGGCCTCCCCGTGCTGCGGCTGTATGGATTCCATTTGCTCAGAGCATGTCCCAGAGAAGTGGCCAGCTAGCTTAGCAGAGGGAAGCATGGCCCCCCTTCCATAACAACAGCCCGACCTTACCATGACTCAGTGTTCAATGCGTCGTGGTTCTCTGACCCTGGCGTTTCGATACACCTCCATTAGCAGTTCGTCTCAGAGTTTGGTGGATCCCGCAATTGGTATTGTTGCACGCTTTGGCTATCTCAGGCACTTGCAGATATGTACTAGCTTCGTGAACAGAGTCTCGGCAACGATTCCTGCACGGCGGTTGTGGATGAGCGGCCGCAGCAATGTGAACTCAGGAATACATGTCCGTTGGGGAGCCGTGCGCTACTGGCATCCAGTGCCACTTTTCCACGCAACAGTCCCTTGCGCACCCGCGCACGACTCGATGAATGATTATACTGGCTGGCTCACAGGGGACATCATGTACGAAGCGGAGCGTCGTTATCGCTCTTGTATGTGCGCCTCGGACGTGCCTTCAATGGAGGGCCACTGGTATGATGTTGTAGCGCATAGCTTTCGCAGCTAGCACATGCTGACGATGTGCGGAGACGAAGCATTCTCGGCACTGCTTTAGCATGCAGGCTCACCGTCATTCAGTTCCAAGTGGTGCGCTTCTCGTTTGTTGTGACGCTCTTTTGTTCGCGCGCATGCTGTAGGAGCTCCCGTTATCTTCAGAAGATGTTGATCAGTTTCAAAATCGATGTTGCAGAGCCGTTCCAAGCCTCCTCCTTGCATATGTCCCAGGGCAGACGGGTAATCTTCTCGTCCCTACGGTCCTTCCCAATGAGACCGATCTATCTGCCACCGCTGTGCGCTACAAGATAGTAGCTTCTCAGGCCGTTCCTATTGAAAGGCCCTATGGTCGTTCTACAAGAGATGCTTGGGGGAATGCGAAGCTGTATGGGCACAGGGCCCAAACAAGCACTTGCCTTCGGTGCTACTCTCGCCAACCTCATGAGGTGGGGGAGAGGATGGCGGGGGGCGACATGGCAAGGAAGAGATGGAGGGGGAGTGTGAGACGAACAATGAAGTGGACAGGGGGAGCAACAGGGGAGGAAACGATACGAGTGGCGGGTGGGACAGAGAGAGGAGAAGAAGAGAAAGAGAGAGAGAGAGAGACACACAGAAAGAGAGAGAGAGAGAGAGCGAGACAGAGAGGGATAGAGAGAAAGAGAGAGAGAGAGGGGGAGAGGGAACAAGAGAACGAGAGAGAGAGAGAGAGAGAGAAAGCGAGATGCGTGCCATTTCGGACGGGGCTTCCTCCAGCCCCCGAGGCTACGGGCCCCCTGCATGCCTACCCCACTGGGCGGGAGATGCCGCCTGCGAAACAGGGGCGGTGGTAGGATCCCCCTCTTGGCGCGCCCTATGGGGGGCCCCAGCTGGAGAGCAATGCGGGTATGTGGTGATCACGCCGCTCAATTGCCTGTCTGCGCACCCGTGGCAGTTTCGCCGTCTTCACGCGCGCTGGAGTGCGCGATGCGGAGCCTGGGGGACAGTGAATGGCACCGTCTTAGGGGCATCCCCCGCAGCGGCCCACAGAGAACAGGCGACGGAGTAGGTGCCGATTGTTCTCGCCGCCATTGGTGCGGAGGGGTGCTAGCACTGCTGTGCCGTATGTTGAGCGCCGATACAGGCTTGGAGGCTGCCATGGACGGATGCCCCCCGGGGCCTCTGCGTTCTGGTTGTGCACCGCTGGGAAACAGCGTTTGCGTAGGGACTGGTGCCCCTAACCCTTGGTCACTTGGGGATGCCCTGAAGACTGGGGCCTGAGCGCCCGCGAAAACTTTCGCAGGGAGAAAGTACAGAAGAACGCCGATACAAGGCTGTCGGGCGTTGGTACGTCGTCACCCCCTACGCTGCGCGAGCAGCAGAAAGCTAGGATCGTCGTCACCCCCTGGGCGATGGTGGCAGCTATAGGGAAGACGCGCATGTCGAGACCCGGGCTATAGCTATCCCTGTGCTCCTGCCCCTGCAACCCGACTAGTATTCAAAATCCACCGGTGTGAATTACCTCGATGGGGGGGGGCATCGAGGCCCATTCAATATGGCGCCAGCCGTGGCGCTGGAATAGGGCGCGTGAAGCCAGAGAGCTCGGGTGTCCTCTCCCCTCCACCTGCCGCCTGGGTGTCGGGGCCGCCTGCGGTGTTGGCCTCGCTGGCTGGACCTGGGGGACCTTGGGGCAGTGGGCGGGCTTAGAGGAGCCTGGTTCGCGTATGCTTGGGGCAGAGACACGAGTGGTGCCATCTGTCGCATGAAGGCTCGCAGCTCTGTGTTCAGGTTGGTTTGTTCAGCTTGGACCACGTGGATTCCTTGCTCGAGCTACTGATCTTGCCGAGCGAGGGTGGACTGGCTGGCTGCTGGCCGCGCGGGTGACGGCTAGTCCGAGCCGTTAGACAGTGTCGGTCAGCTTCTCTTGTCGGCCCCCAGGTCGCGGAACCTCGCGTCCGTTTGGTCGGACATATCTTGGACGTTCGGTTTTGGCAGCCTTTCGTCGCCAGAGAGGTCATCATAGCGCCTATCCTCCTGCTGTTCGGTCACGGGCAGGAGTTGAGTTTGGCCGCCTGCGATCTCGGTGGCTTCCTCTGCCGCGTCGCAGTCGTCTGCGTCTTGCATGGCGATGGGGGCTCTGGTCAGGTGTGACATTGGCCTCCCCCTCGGTGCTGCTGGCTCGTTGGCGCGACCCCCGCGCGCTGGCGCTGCTCGGCTTTTCCCCCGGCGGCGGGTTGCTCGGGGGTGAGGGTCGCTAGCAGGTTCGGCTCTGGTTGGGGCGGCGCTTGGAGGTGCGGTCCGGCGGCCGCGCGGTCCTGCAGGGATGGGGGCGAGTCTACCACTGTTCCCCCAGCGGGTGGTCCCACGACAGGCATCTCCGTCGCGATCGTCCCTGGCGAGACGATCGTTTCCGCTGGCCCTTTCGGGGAGTCGACCTCAGCAAGATTGGGCGCCTCAGTCTCTTCGATGGTCCAGGAAATCGTGGAACCGTCGACGCTGGCCGTTGCATTCTGAGGGGGGCTGGCCGCTTCGTCTATGGCGAGGCCATTTTTCCTACCCTGTGCGTTGGACTTCGCAGTGCCACCTGATGGATGGGAGGAGTTTGGCAATTTGCGCCTTGGTGGCGCTCTGCGTTTCAATCCCTGTGATGCGGTCCTTTGTATCAGCAATCGCGGCGTCATTGACCTGTGGTTCGAGGGCGACTTGCTTCGCTGCCTAGGCGTCACGGTTGACCGTGATGCCCACTCGTTCGTCCGCTCGGACAGCGTCGTGCCCTTTTTACTTCGTTGAGGTGCTGTGCGCTTCTGGTAGCGTGGTCTGGTGACCACCTGGGCACCACGTAGTGATGTAGTCACTTGGCGGGGGCCTTTTGATGCCATGGTAGCTGATGTCGAACTGAATGCCTCCCTGCCCAGAGGTAGAGACGACCAGTGGGGCGTCGGCGAGCTGAAGTCCGAATGTGGCCGTGAGTTTCTGCTCTCTGACTGATGCAACGTGTCGACTGTCTTGGGATGTTCATATCTTCTTGCAATTGGACAGCGCAGAAGTGGAACGAACGCGCAGCGGTGAGAGCGTCCGCGAGGTCGTCGTTGAGCTGCTTGTGAGAGACGTCTTTTACTTGTGTATATGTATCTGTTTATTCATATAATATATATATATATCGACAGATATAGATATATAACTTAAGGTGTTATTTGGCCTTTTGTCGTGCCGTGCTTGGTCCGCCTGGGAAGCGGTTGCCGTTGATGGGTGCAGCGCCTGAGATTTGTGCCGTGGACAATCATTCGAACGTGGGCGTGCCCGCAACAGCGTCAGGCTCACAGATAACATCGTTTTGTTTCGTCCCATCCAAGCTGAGATGGTCCCTTGAGTGTGTCCTGGCGTACGTTTGGTAGCCTTGGCCGTACCGTGGAGGACTGGGATGAGGATCTCGCGTACTGGATGGTCGGTGTTGACCGGTTCCCGAGTTGCGAACGCCAGAGGTTTGTGTCGTGTTCGGATATGTTGTAGCAGGCTGTTGGCTTCCTCTAGCGCGTGATGTGAGATTCTACTTGTGTGCGACGTCCCGTCATCCTCTTTCTCGGGCGCGCTGGTTGCAGGGACGTACCAGTTCTGTGCGTCCACGCTTGCGAGAGGGGCGTTGCCGTTACCGTGGTGGGCTTCGGTGTCTACCGTGGTCTCTGGTGGGTCACGGTCTGACGCCTTGTTGTGCGTGAGAAGTTGGTGCAGCATTGTGTCGTTGATCTTGTTTGTCCCGCCCGATCTCATTAGAGTTCGCCCCTGCATTTCGGTGGTCGGCACGGCGTTGCTGGAAAATCGTATCGAGATCAGTGTGCTGCTTGTGAGCAAGGCCGTTGCATGCGGCGGCTGCTCAGTCGAGGCCACCACTGCTGTGGAGTGCGGCGGCGCAGGCTTCCTTGCGGGATAGGCTGTTATCCCGTAAGGTTGCCTTTGTGGCGGCCCCTGCTTGGTTGTTTGGGCTCCGTGGCGCAAAGGGCGCACGGCGGGGGCCTTTCGGTGGCATGGCGCGCGCGCGGGCGGGACTGGAGGGACGAGACGCCATCTGTCACGGCCTGGAGAGAGGGTCGTCTCCGGTTTCGCGGAAGTTTCGCGAGGCATGAGTGGATGCGCGGCGTTTGGCGCTTGGGCTCGCCCTGAACACAGCCCTCGCGCCGAGGCTGGAGGGAGAGAACGAGAGGGAGAGAGAAAGAGAGAGAGAGAGAGAAAAGAGAGAGAAAGAGAGAGAAGCAGGGAAGGAGGGAGGTAGGGAAGGAAGAGGAAGCAATGAAGGAAGGATGCACACATGTTGCGTTGACCTGCTCTCATGGATGGAGGGAGGGGGGCATATTCTCATACGGTTATACACACGGAGTGTCATTGCTACTTCTCTGCTCAGCAGAGCACGAAGAGCACCTTTTCTGTGCCAGGGGCGGCAGCCGACGCACATGACGGTATCTAATGGAAAGCTCAGTTGCAGCAGCATTCATCTAACTCACAAATGGGTTGTACAGGTGTGCATGCATGCGTGAATGTTCGCAGGTATGTTTGTGTATACATGTACACATATACGTATGCATGTATAGAGCCATGTCTTAATACATACAACAGAGTACGTACATACCAATTGTATGTACACTACATACATGTGTAGTTTCGCGTAGCGTATTTGAGCACGCACCTACATACACATACAGGGTCTATGGCAATGCACGCTAAACACGTTGAGAGATAAAGAGAGGGAGAGAGAGGGATATATAGAGAGAGAGGGAGAGAGAGCGTAGAGAAAGAGAGAGAGAGAGAGAGACACACATAGAGATAAAGACAAAGAGAGAGAGATATAGACATATACATACATACATATATATATATATCAGCAGACATGAGGGCGAGGACGGGAGGTTGATGAGGGCAAGCGTAACGTAATCCCGATCCTACTTCGGACGCGCGCTCTGGGTTGGAGCGGCTCGCGACCCCAGGATGACGAGGATGCGGACGACCTCAACCTGGGCAAGAAGAAGAAGGGGGTGAAAAATAAAAAGGACCTGGGGAGTGTGGGGAGAGCTGGGATGAGCAGCGGCCGAGGGGGAAGGAGGATGGCAAGGAGGACGAGCGAGCGAGCCTGAGGCGCATGACCCTGGGGGCGGGAAGCGGTGCTCTCTCCTCTTTTGTTTTGTTGTTCTCTTTCTCTCTCTCTCTCTCCCTCTCTCTTTGTCTCCCCCCCTCTCCTCCTCACCCCCCTCCTTTCCTATTGCCCTCCCCCTCCCTATTCTGCCCCCGTCCCCGACTCCCCGCATTGGGGCCCCTGGGAGTCCCTGGCTGGGCGCGAGGATAAGAGGGGAACGCCGATCAGCCTCGACATCGACTACAATTTCGGGACGCGACCGGGCGAGACGGGCGAGGACCAGAAGCCGTGCGCGCGCTGCTCCAGCTCGCCCCCGTCGCCGCCGCGGGGCTCGGCTTGGGCGGTGAATGGGGTGGGGAAGAGGGAGTGGGCGGAAGAGGAGGTGCATGAGACAGGAGTGGTGAGGAGGGAGGAAAGAGGGATGCGAGGAGGGAGGCATGGAGAATGGGCGAGGGATGGAGACCCGAGGGGGGAGGGAGGCAGGGCGATGGGGTCGAGGAGGAACGTGGGGGTAGGGTGGAAGGCGAGGTGATCGACGGTGACGTTTGTGATGCTGATGGTAGTTATTATTATGATGCTGGTGCTATTGATGATGATGATGATGCTGATGATGATGGTGATGATGATGATGCTAATGATGCTGATGGTGATGCTAATGATGCTGCTGATGATGATCGATGATGATGGTGCTGATGCTGATGATCATGATGCTGTTGCTGTTTATGATGATGATTGTGATGATATGGTTGGTGTAGATGGTGTAGTGGTGGTCGCGATTATGATATATTGCAGAGGTCTGATAACGATGTTGAGGGGGTGGAGGATATGAGATGAGGAGGGGGAGTATAGAAGAGGATGGATATTAGTAGAACAACGGGTGCCATGAACAGGGATTACGAGAGGATAGTGGTGGTGTTTCAGGATCTGATGCGGCCGAGGGGGAGAGGGATGAGGAGAAGGAGAAGGGGGAGGAGGAGGAGGAGGAGGAGGAGGAGGAGGAGGAGGAGGAGGAGGAGGAGGAGGAGAGACAGTAGATTGGCAGGCGGGGGAGGAGGAGGAGGAGGAGGAGGAGGAGGAGCAGGAGGAGGAGGGGGAGGAGGAGGAGGGGGAGAAGGATGTGGAGTGGAAGCAGGCGTGATGAGGGCGAAGAGCATGATTCGGGGAGGCGGACGCTCAGGGAAGCGAAGCGACATGAACCCTGCAATGGCCCGTCAGAGGCCAGCGGCCCGTGCGGGTGGCAGGCGCAGCGTCGTGGGTGCGCTGCCCCTGGAAAGGACCAGAGGGAAGGATTGCAAAAAAACGAAGGATTGCAACAAAAACGAAGGATTGCAAACGAAGGTTTTTTTTGCAATCCTTCGTTCGAAGGGTTTTTTTTTTGCAATCCTTCGTTCAACGAAGGTTTTTTTTGCACTCCTTCGTGCAAAAAAAACGTAGGTTTTTTTTTGCAGTCCTTCGCTCAGAGGCCCGTGCGCATCGCGTGCTCCGGTTCGTGCGCGCCCCCCCCACACGTCCAGATTCGAATCGCTGGGAGCCACGATTCCCAAGTTTTCTCGGCAGCGAATGGCACCAAGCCATTTTCCCGTCTGACGACGCGTCGTGGTCGTGAGCGGGTTGGGCACGATACGTTTAGATTCCGTTCTCAACCAATCGTGGTCTCTCCGTGCTGTCATCCGTCTCGCCTACCTGTCTAGAGGCATTTTCGCAATCTTCCCCGCCCAAAGCCACTTCACTTTCGAAAAAGCTTCGACCAAGCATAATGTTTGGCCTTTTTTTGTTTTGGCCTCTGCAATCGTTGTGGCCCGTTTGATCCATGCCACGTGATCTTCGTCGGCGTGTCTCTTGGGCCCGACCATCCGCCGCAGTATGTCTCGCTTTGTGCTCCGCAGTTTCCTCTTTTGCTTCACTGTGCGTTTCCATGTCTCTGCGGAGTAGAACACTTTTTCATTCAGTGGCATCGAAAAGACGCAGACGCCGAGCCTCGGACGAATCTTTCTTCGCTAACAAGTAAGTGTGGAGGGAGGGATGAGATGCGGTAGATGCGGAGAGAGGCAGGGAGCCCGATGCAGGTTGCGGGTGGAATGGCCGGGGATAGCGCGCGATGGGGGGATTTGGAACGCGATGAGAAGGAGGACAGGAAAGGAGCAGGAGGAGGATGGAGGGCGGGAGAGAGAGGGAGGTAGCTGCTGTGGCGGTGCCTGAGGGGTCTGCGGCAGTCTTTCACCCCCGTGGCCACCGACCAGCGTGCATTCCTGGTGTGCTCCGAAGGTGCCCGCATGACTCGTGCTGGGGATGGCGAGGGGATGGCGAGGCTGCCAGGATGCTGCAATATTCGGGCGGGCCAAGCGGAGTAGTAGGCAGGCTTTCGCAGGCCACTCCCCCGTTTTGATCGTCTGCCCACTGATCACACGGTGGACTTTGGCTCAGAGTCGAGGACCGTCTTTCTGAGACCTTCTGGCCTGTGGGGCTCCGTCATCTTGGCATGTCGCTTGCTCGCTGCATGCGTGCCCGTTGTGGTGCCTGCCCCCCTCGCCGACTTGCCTGCGCACGGCCTTGGGTCCCTCGTCGGCCGTGGGTTGCCAGAGGCGAGGTGATGCTCGCACCGTGAGGTGCTCCACGCAAGTAACGCGGGGGTCAATCGACTGCAGCGGGCGGATGGTCGAGTCGCGAAAAGGCTGTCAACCCCCGACGCCCTCCCATGTCCGAGCCCTGCTCGTTCGGCATCCGCGCGCAGGGTATGTGATTTATGTGTTGCGCGTCTCTCTGCAGATGGAGTCGTTGGCCTGCGAACTGTCCCCCGCACTTCTCTGAGCAGGGCCGCTGTGCCAGCGATGCGCCCGAAGAGATTGCGCGTGCGTAGCGCCCGTTGGCCTCTATTCGCCTAGACTCCCTCTGAACAGTAGAGCCGTCTGATGAGGACAAGCTCCCCAGGGCCAGACCTTGCCGCACCCCTCGGACAGTCCACATCTATGAGGCGTTCCATAAGGAAGGGGCCTCGCCTTCGAGGATCGAAGGAGTCGCCTTCCCCTTCCTGGGCCAAAGGCGGCGGAAGGTTTTGGGAAGGCGGCGGAAGTAAACGAGGGTACCTCCGCCAGCGGAAGCCGGCGGAAGTAAAGAATGCACCCCCAAGACATTACAACTTTTTTGGATTCAGGGTTTCCGGAAACGGCCATATAATGCATAGTCAAGGCGTTGAGATAAAGGTCCACTGTGGGCTCAGGATGGGACTATGGTTTTCGAGCCGATCCTTAGATCGAAGTTGGGGCACCCGTTCGTGGCTGAGGCTCGCCGTGAGAAGAAAAGCCCCTTCGTTCCTTCTGTGGCGTTCCATGTGGTAGCACGATGGCTGTACCCCACGATGAATCGGCACATCGGCCGTAAGGCATTTCGTTAACTATCAACGTCAAACGGGCGAGAACTTTTGCTTAGCGTGTCGCTCCGCTGGTTCTGGTCCACCACGCCTCGGCGCGACACGCTAAATACGTCCTGGCCCCTAGGCGTCAACGGTCCGAGCCCTTCACGTCCTCCCACCCAGCGGGGCAGAGCGACGTGCCATTCGCTCGTTGGGCATGGCGTGTCGTCGGGGCCGCCGCCGCGACACGCTAAGCAAAAGTTCCCGACAGTATAGTTTGGTGCACGCATCTTGGGCGTCGCGTAATGGGTGGCGATGAATTGGGGGGGCAGCGAGGGCTGCAGAAAAGGGGCCCTTCAGGGCCCCCAAATGGGCCCTTTGGGGCCCCAAAGGAGACCTCTAGGGCCCGAGAAGTGTACCTTCTCCCCCCCTCCGTTTATCGCCCCCCATTGAGCGACGCTCAGACAATGCCCGCCTCGTGGTCTGCCGCCCTCCGTTTGGCCTGCTGCCACGGGGCTGCGCCCGGCGAGGAGGAGTGGGTCGAGCCGCTGCCGGCTGTCGCAAAGTGGGCGGGGGGAGCGAGCTGGCCGGCTGCACGCAGGTCGGCGGTTCCAAGTTGAGGGCCCTGAGTTGAGGCATGAGACCCTGAGGAGAGGACGGAACCCAGACGTCCAACGCCTGAAACACAAACAAGACTCCCGGAGTGTTTCAGCCGTTTTGGGCCGCTGGGCCCTCGCAGGCCTCTGGGGCCGCCAGAAAAACGGCCTGGGACGAAAAACCGGCCTTGGGAAAGAGGTCGGGACTTCCGGGCCCTTCGGACTTGGAACATCAAAATGCCGGATTCTGTAGAGATGCATCACAAACGGAATGTTTGCGGTTTCGTTTGAGGTTCCGTCCCTAGGGCCACATCCCTCGGGGCCCCGTCTTTGAGCCGCCGAGTCGGAGTGACGCTTCGTGGGGGCGGCCTTTGGTGCGCGCTTTCTTGGGGGGGGCGCTGGGGGCCGAGCCCGAGCACGCGGGCCGCTGCCGCCGCAGCGCGCGCAACGATCGGCGAGCCGCGCGCCAGAGGTGACTCTTGCCCGGGGTCTCGTCCTTCGCGTGTCCGCAGCTCCCCAGCCAGCGGGAGAGCGCGGTGCGGCAAGGGAGCCGAGAGGGGTGGCGTCGAAGTGCATTCCATGCTCGCGTCGCGACGGAGCGGAAGGGGCCCCGAGGGCGAGGAGTATGCCGAATGCTTTCCAGGTCCCTGGCGCCTTTCAGGCCACCGGGCCGCGCAAACAACGACTCAGGAGGAAAAGCTGGTCCTGGGGGATCCTCCGAGAAGCCCTTGGGTCCAGGATTTTGGTGCTCTTAGGGCGCTTCTCCCTCATGCCAGCTTTGGGGCCCCTCGCAGTTGCGTGGATCTGCAGGATCGGTTTGGACAAGGGGCTGGTGGGCTGTGGGATGGACCGTTCGAAGACCACCTCGAGGTGTTTACGCGGCCAGCAAGTCGGAGGATTCAGTTCAAGCAGGAGCTGAGCCGAAAAGCGGCAGGGGGCCTGCGTCCTGTGTGCCTGCCAGAGCCACGCAGTCTACTCCCGCTTTGCCGCGAGAGCGCGGGCTCGAGCCCCCCTGCGCCACTGCGCCTCTCCCCCCCCTCTGCCCTCCCCGTGTCGGGCGTTGACGGAGATGGTCTTGGCTTTACAGGGGAAGCCCATGCCAAGAAACACCCTTCTTGCATCCAGGGTGCCCTGGGTTTCTTGGTTTCGATGGGCTTGCTATGGGAAGCGTGACGTTCCCACACCGACAAGAGTCGATGGACTTCCTGGGGTCTCAGGGTTGGGGTGCTCGTGGAGGTTTTTCCCTACCTAGGCTCTGCCTAGAAGGGTTCTTACTCTCTGGGCTTAAAGGGGCCGGGCAGTGGAAAGTGCCTTGGGCGGTTCCCCCAGTATCCGCCGCGCGGTTCCCGCAATTACGTCCCCTTAGCTTAGCGTTGTTTATCTCATCTTAGCTTAGTTTATTTCATCTTAGCTTATCTTAGCTTCATCTTAGCTCAGGCTTATTCCCTACCTAGGCTCTGCCTAGAAGGGTTCTTACTCTCTGGGCTTAAAGGGGCCGGGCAGTAGAAAGCGCCCCGGGTGGTTCCCCCAGTATCCGCCCCGCGGTTCCCCCAGTTGCGCCCCCTGGGTTCACCCAGCTTAGCTTAGCTTAGCTCAGCCCAGCTTAGCTTAGCTTATCTCATATGAGCTTAGCTTAGCTTAGCTTAGCTTAGCTTAGCTTAGCTTAGCTTAGCTTAGCTTAGCTTAGCTTATCTCATATTAGCTTAGCTTAGCTTGGCTTAGCTCAGCTTAGCTTAGCTTAGCTTAGCCTAGCCTAGCCTAGCTTAGCCTAGCTTAGCTTAGCTTAGCTTAGCTTAGCTTACCTTAGCTTAGCTTAGCGCAGCGCAGCACTAGCACATCATATCATAGCATAGCATAGCATAGCATAGCATAGCATAGCATAGTCAATCATAACATAGCATAACATAGCCTAGCTCAGTATAGCATAGTTCATCAGATCATAGCATAGATGTATGTGTAGGTGTAGATGTAGGTGTATACATAGATGTAGCCGTGAGTCTCGCTGTTGATGTTGATATAGATGCAGGTGTAGATGTACATGTAGCTGTCGGTGTCGATGTAGATGTTGCTTTCCTAAATGCTCCAACGCCTAGGTAGGGTCGCACAGGGATGATTTTGAAGTCCGGCTCCTGCTGTAGGTGACCCCTGCCATCCGCCGACCGTGGGGCGCCTCCCCCTGGACGACGCCGGAGCGCGAAGCTCGGCCCAGAGCCTGCCTGCACGAAGGCCCTACCAGGGCGCAGGCGCGCGAGGCTGGCACGCGCTGCGCCGAGCTTCCACCGAGTCCGCGGGTGGCCTTGATTGGCGCCGGCGTTGGGTTGCATCACTGGGCTGAGGGTCGGCGTCCGGTGTCCGCTCTGCGCAGCTGCAGCTGTGCCCTCCTGGCCCTCGCTGCCTCCGCCAGGTCCCGGTGGTGGGCAAGTCTCCTCGGGGAGCAAGCCTCCGAGCCCCCGCGTGGCGGAGGTGGTCCGTCGTGCGCCACCCCGCCGGGCCCCCACCCATCGAAAGCGAGAACGGCTTGTCGCCCAATCCAGCGCTGCATCAACCCCCCTCCCTCTGTCCCTCTCCACCCCGCCTCTGCCCCCCCCTCCGCACTTACCCCGTGCCTGCGACGTGGTGCTCTCCCGCGAGGTCCGGGGCCCACGCTTCCCTCCGTCCTCTCCCGCCCTCTCCGTCCCCCTCTCCTCCCCCTCTCCCTCCCTCCCTTCGTTTCCTTCCCTGCCTCCCTCCCTCTGTCTCCTCCCTCTGTCTCCTCCCGCTGTCCCCTCCCTCCTCCGTCCCTCTCGGCCCCAGCAGCGCCTCGGGGTGTGGAGGCCCCTCCAAGCGTCCCCGGCGGCAGCGGTGCACGCCCAGGACGCGCCGCCCTCGGGGTGGGTCGGGGGGAACAGCGCGCTTCAGCCACGCGCAGAGGGGGGCGGGGGCAGGGGGTCGGGCTTCTCAGAAGCACCCCTGGCAACTTTGAAGGCGCGGGTCTCGTCTGTGGCTGTGAGGCCGGCGCCTTCTAAGAAGCAGCCTCCTTCGGAGAAGCCTCCCCGCCTCCCTCCACCCCCCTTTGCGCGCCGCCAAGCGCTCGCCTCGGCGGCGGTTGCTCTGGCAGAGGTCGCCTGGGCGGGGTGCCGAGCTGCTGGGAGTCGGAGGAGCACGAGGCCATGAGAACGACACGTCCCAAGATTGTCAGGACTCCTGGGGCCCCAAAAGTTCCGAAGGCTCCGCACGGGCTCCAGCTCCAGAATCGAGGGCCGCCAGACACCCTGTGACCGCGGGGGGCTCGATCCTCCTCCTCCTCCTCCTCCTCCTCCTCCTCCTCCTCCTCCTCCTCCTCCTCCTCCGCACGGACACCCAGACTTCGGCAGCCACCTCCTGACGGCAGTCTCGCTCCAAAAGGAAGGCCCAACCTTTCAGGCCACCCGCATGGGGCGCGAAGATGGCGGCGCGCTTCGCCGCCCGGGCCGGAGAGCTTCCCTTCTCCAGCGGGGGGGGGGCGCCTCCTCCTCCGCCTCCTCTCCCTCCTCCCTCCTCCTCCTCTCCTCCTCCTCCTCCTCCTCCTCCTCCTCCTCCTCCTCCTCCTCCTCCTCCTCCTCCTCCTCCTCCTCCTCCTTTCTTTTTCGTCTGGGCGCCAGGACGGGGATCCACACCTCGCGCCTGGAGCCCCCCTCCCAAGACGGCTCCCTTGGAGAGGTCGGCTTTCTGCGGGGGCTCGAGCAGGGGACGGCGAGAGGGGCGGCCAAGGGGAGGCCGCGCCACGAGGAGCAGGCAGCCCCCCGCGGTCCTGCACAATCACCTGCCCCCCTCCCGTCCGCTCCTGCGGCCGCGGGCCTCCCTGGCGGCCGCAGTCACCCAGCCCCGCCCCTATCCCAAGACCGCGGGCTTGGCTGCCTGCCGCCACGGAGGTCTTCCGCCAGGCTGGGGCGCCGTGGCGCCCCCTGCCGATCGAGCCCTTCTGTCTTCCCATATCGTACCCGCTGCAACTCTCGTAGGTGTACATCTGTCTGTCTGTTTGCTCCTTCCTTCCCTCGTGCACGTGGAGCCTGTTGGCTGTGAGCGTGTTGTCCTCTCTCCTTCCGTAGCCATGTTTGGCTCAAGCCATTTTGGCTCGAGGGTCGATGTAGCTTGAGGAGGCCAGAGCGGCGCGCCTGGCGGCGCGCCCAGCGGCTCGGCGGCGAGGCCAACGCTTCATGGGGAAGCGCGCCCAGGTGCGCGGCGGGCACGTGCGATGGCGTGGCCTGGTTTCGGAGCTATGCCACCGCTCCCCCCAGGGTGGTGCTCGGGGTGGCTCGCGGTGCCGGTCCCGGACCCGCGTGGCGCCGCCAGGGAGCCAACACCAAGGTGTTGGGCCGCCTGCCCGGGCCCGGCCGCGCCAGGGCCAGCGGCCGCAGAAGGCGGAGCGGCGACAGCGGCGCCGCGCGTTGCAGGCCTCCACGGCAGCACGGGGCCACGGGAGGCGTTCGCGGAGCCTCCGCCGTGGCCGGGGGGGATCTGACAGACTTCCGAGTGAATCATGTTGATGTTATGTAGATGGCAATGGGGATTCAAGCGTTCTCGGTCGGGAACGCGCGTTCACAACGTGGTCGCTATCATCGCTCGCCCTGAACACTTTAGATTCCGTGCGCACTCAGATCCCGCCTTTTGTCTTATTGGGGCCCTCTGCACCCGTAGTGCACTGAAGTTCTGTTCGAGCCGTGGGCGCCGTGCCGTGCAATGGCATGTGGTGCAGTACCGCGCTGCTGGTATCTACTATGCCGTGCCGTGTCGTGCCATGGTCAATTGACATGGTGGGTGTGGCAGTGCACTGTGGTGCCGTGCCGTGAACTTCAGCACCGTGCCGTGCTCTGGTCGCCGTGCCCTGCTGTGTTTCCCGTAGCCGTTACGGCTTCAAGAAGTTGTTGGCTTCATTCGAGCCCTTCGTTTCATGCGTTCATCTGTACATGGGCGAAGACGCGGCGCTCGACGCCGAGATCGCGCGCCGTTAGCGATACGACTCAGAGGTGTTGGACGGAACCCTCAGGCATCAGTGCAACGGACTTGGGAATAGTTTTGCCAGGTACTCTGAGGCAGCGAAATTGAACCGCGCAGAGTTTGACAAACACAAAATCAGGAAGCATGCGTCCGTCCTGATGAGCATCAAGGGGGCCCACCCCAAGCTTGCCCTGAGAAGGTCTAGCGTCGCCAAGTCGATCACAACAATAGTCGACACGACGACCAAGAAAACAAGGAGTGATGACCGACGCAGACAACACGAATCGGGCATCGACGATGTCCAACCGAGCGTTTAACCTTGTCAGCCCCGCGGCCAAGGCGGCGAGGGCGAAGACGTCTGAGGCCGCCAAGCTCGTCGAGACAAGGCTAGGCGAGGCCGTGGAACCAGACGCTGGCGACGAGATCGTCGAGGGCGACTGCGACGAGGAAGACCCCGAGGAGGAGGGGGCCCCAATGACTCACCACCCACCAAACCACCCCAACCCAACCCGAAGGCTCAGATTTACCCTCGATTTCCAGTTGGGGGGGGGGTCGGGAAACATCGAAAAAACACGTGTGGAACCCTTACCCCCCCCAACCCGAAATTCGGGTCTTCGGGTTGGGTTGGGGTGGTCTGGTAGGTAGTCAATGACGTCGACGAATGCGTCGACGACGGAGCTCCCCCGGGCGCAGCGGCCGCTGCGACCGACGGGGCCAAGACCCAGTGGATGTTCGAAGGGTCGCCGGAGCTCACGACCGGCGGCGGGGCGGGCGTTGGCACCGACGCGGGCAAGGTCGGGGCGCCGCTCCCGATCCGCATTGCGGAAGACACAGACCCATCGGACCACGTTCAGGCAGCGTGGAGGGATGGCGCGGCGCGTTCGTTCGCGGCCACCGCGGCGGAGTTCGACGCTCAGGGCGGCGGGGGGCGGGGAGGCGTCAGCAGGGAGCCACGCGGGGCTGGCGAGCGCTCGGTCCTTCACGGCATTCCAGCAGCGCGCCGACCGAATGCTGCTCTTTTCCCTGCGCGACCAAGGACCCCGCGCCGCATCTAGCAGCCGCGCCCGACAGCGATCCCACCTGAGTGAAGGCAGTGCAGTTCACTGCGCCCTTCTGCAAGCCGTGGCATTCTGACGAGGCGCACGACAAGGGCGAGCACCGGAAGCTCAGTGAACAAGCTGAAAAAGAACAGGGCCCACCGACGGCGCGCCCTGCGGGGCGCAAGAGCGTCGACGCGAAGAGTGCGCAGGAGCGCCCAGCTGCCGCAACCGCGGTATCACCGCCGATGAAGAGACAAGATGCCGCGGCCCAGGCGTCGCCTGGCGCCACCGATAAGAGCGCCGCAAAGAGGATCGACAACAGCGTCGTGAAGAGCAAGTTTGTTGGTCACGTCAGACCTCCAGCTCCGACTGCCGCGGGCCACGGGCGGGCGCGCAACCTCCCGAAGCCTGCCGGCGCTGCGGCGACAGGCCCCCCGTCTTCGGGCAGCGCCGATCCGCCGCGGGAAGCCGAGGCCAAGGCCAAGCGCCAGGACATGAGCGCGTGCGGGAGGCCAAAGTGGAGCTCGTCGACGTTCGCGTTAGAGCCGACCCCAGACCTTGCGGAGGAAGAGGCTGAGCGGGCGCTTAGCCGCTTGCCGCTCGGCGGTGGCATTTCGGATTCAGATTGGTTCCTCCGTCGAGCTGTTAGATAGCGCAACTAGTCTCGACGTACCCGCGCGACCCGCGCCGCGCAGTTGCATCCGGCGCGCGTTTTCATGCGTCGCGAGAGTAGGCGACGGAGTAGAGCCGCAGCAAAATCCATCATCAATCATCCATCTACCCCGCCTCGCCCAGCACCTCCCGCCGCCGCCAGAAGATGGATGGCGCCAGAGAGGTGCGACGAGTTAACGGGCCATCGTGCATGCCCAACGGTTCGCCATCATCTTATCCCGCGTCTTTTCTGGCTCGAGCGCGAGCGGCTGACAGAGATCGGGCACTGGACTTCGGCGTTTGTGCCCTGGCGCGTCACGTCAGCCACGACGGGGCCCGTCGCTGCGTCCGAACCGGCGATGGCGGGGGCAGGCGCCGTCGATGTCCACGGCGCCGCGCCCCCGGCTGCCGACGACGTCGGCGCCGAGAGCCAACGCCCTCCGAGCCCGCCTGCAGCCGAGGCTTCAGCGGGGCTGCTGCTGGGCGCCGGACTCCCGATCCAGGGCGACTCCGAGCTGCCCCGGACTGCGTCGGACGTCGCAGACCCGTCAGACATCTGCGCGCGCATGGCGAAGATCCAGCCTTCTAGTATCAGCGCGGGCAAGTTTCACGAGCTCGAGTCGATGTTTGATATGTGCCTCGCCCAAGCGCGCCCCGCTGGCACGGGGCGCGCGCCGCCCAGCGACGAGGGGGGGCGTCTTCAAGCGCGTCGCAGCAGGGCTCACCGCACCGAGGACAGCTCTCGGCAGTCAGTTTCGCAAAGCCCACCCCGCCGGCAGCCCGCCGCGCGCCGACTGCGCCAGCATAGCCCCGACGCAGAGGCAGGTGTCCGAGACCAACGGGGCCGAGCTGGAGTTGGCGAAGATCCAGAAGGTCGCACTCCCAGGAACTAAGCAATACCGACTGCACTCAGAGGGAGATGAATACAGTGGGAGGCATGTTCGTCTCCCACGGCGGCTGGGAGTGGCCAGCGGCCAGCGGCCGTTGAGGGCGCCGAGAGGGCGGTGGCCAAGTGCGCCAAGCTCGGGGACGAGTGGTGCTATCGCGACGAGTGGTCGGAGCTCGCGCTGCGCCGTGATATTGACGGCGAGGGCGAGGGGGAGTTCTGCATGGCGTGGGGCGAGATCGATCCTTCCACCAGCGGGCTCGATGGCCAGGGTTCCAGCGCATTGGCGGCTCTGCCCGCCAGCGCGGCGGTCGACCCCCGACGCGGCCCACGCCCCTGTGAATGTGGTCGCTGAGACTGCTGCCTGGCTCAGTGGCGTGTCAACGGCGGGAAATGCTGGCGGTTCGAGGGCGAAGTCGAAGCGCGCGCCGAAGCGGAAGACGGAGGCTGGCGTCAATTTGCCAGAGGACACCCCCACAGTGCAGTAGGCAACCACGGTGTTGTCGAGCGCCAGCGAGCTCAAGCCCGGCTACCTCAAGGCGGCGCAGAGGGCCGAACTCTTCATCAGGCGCATCGAAACATCGGACGGTTACCGCTGGGCTCGGGGCAGCGATTTCGAGGATCTCAAGCAGGCGCTCGAAAAGGTCACCGAGGGCAAGACTGAGTGCGTTGGTGGGTTTCTCGTCACGAAGGACGCGGAGGACTTCGCGACCAGTTGCCGCTATGCCATGGTGGAGACCGACCTGTGAGAGTTCGTCAGCGAAAGAGACGCGGACAATAATCCCGAGGCCAAGCAGCAGGAGATTGGGTCCATGGTTCGGGCCAAACGCGCCACTCCACTCATAGGACTTGGGGGCATTCCATTCAGTGCCTCGCGGCACGGTGGCGGACGGAACGCTGCATCACTCATGCAGATTCACAACGTCACACGCATGCACCTCCTACGCCTCAGCCATGGTTGTTGCCGCGCCGCTGCTGCCGCATCAATGAATCGAGTAGGGATGTTCGCGTTCCGCTCCTCTCCTCCTCCTTCCCCCATTCAAAGAAGCACCTCTTACATCCGAGCTCAGTTGATTGTGGTGTATTTCAAGCGCCCAGCTTCCCGTTCACACTCATCACTCCTTGAATGATATCTCGCTTCCGCCCCCAATGTCGCGCCGCGGAGAAAAGTGAGAGTTTAGTCGAGCAGGCCAGCTCAGAGAGTTTTGCTCTTCTCCCCGCCCCGCAGGCCGAGGGGACCTCAGAAGGCTTCAGTGAAGCCTGGGTCACGCTTCAGACCCTGAGACCCGACGTCGCACAACAGTGCAACATCACATTGAAATCGTTACGTGAACCCTCGATTGTACCGTTCGGCAGCATGCGG